CCTTTAGTATTATAGACTGAAATATATACTTATTTGATTGTGAACATTTCAAACTAGTCATTTGGTACATACATATAGCTGTTTGAAGTTATATTCTCTTTGTTATAGACCCCATACAATTAGTGTAAATGCTGGTTATTTTCATAATTCCAAAGGTTAGACCTGAAGATGGTAAGTATTTAGGAAGAATATCTGTACTACAGATTCTGTTAAACATCTGAAATTAAATAAAAAAAAAGTATAAATTAAAAAAATATTTTTTCATAGCCATTAAGATAAATAAATCAAAATATGAAGTAATAACACTTGTACAGGTGTTAGCTACTCCTATGATATATTGATCAAGTTATTTCTAGCACATGTGTACCTTTATCTATATAGTTCAGTAAAGAATTGCTTTATTAATGTTAGCTGTACGTTTGCTTCTTCGATTGTGTTTATTAATTACGTCATTCTGTAAGAAATAAGGTTTTGTTTTCTCTAAAGCTTTCCGATTTAAGTGTTGAGAAAAAACAAAAGATTCTTATCACTAAGGGTTTGGATTCATAAATTGAAACGTTATTATTTAAAAAAAAAATTAAAAGCAATTGATAAAATTCATTTATTATTTTTAATCGAATATGCATTGCGTATCATATATACATATAAATCTCGTTATTTCAAACTTTATAGACTTTTAACTGGAGTATCGTTTTCTTTTTTATAGGAAGAGCAAACATCGTTCCCGTTCCCGTTCTCGATCGCGAGATCGCCGGGAGAAAGATCGTCGCGATCGCGACAGAGATCGAGATCGAGATCGAGATCGCGACAGAGACAGGGACCGTGATCGTGATCGTGATCGTCGACGCAGATCAAGATCAAGAGATCGAAGAGAGCGCGATAGAGACCGTGATGGCGAGAGAGATAGGGATCGACGAGACAGAGATCGAGATCGAGACAGAAGAAGGAAACGATCACTCACGCCGATTACGCTTCCCAGAGCAAGACTACCGTTTGGAAAAGGTGTCAGCCCCCTTGGCATGTAAGTGTGTAAGCGTTCGTTATTACACTGAAATGACAAGAACAAATGTGCTTGCTTTCTTCGGTAATAGTTCACGCCTTTAGTGATTATATTTGTTATATTTATTTCAGCAGAAATGACGAATTAACACCAGAAGAACGGGACGCCAGAACTGTGTTCTGCATGCAACTGAGTCAGCGTATACGTGCTCGTGATCTAGAAGAATTTTTCTCGAGTGTTGGCAAAGTTCAAGATGTCCGACTCATCACATGCAATAAGACAAGAAGATTCAAGGGTATAGCATATGTAGAGTTCAAGGATCCTGAAAGTGTCACACTGGTGAGCTAATAAGTAACTTGTGTTTAATATTGAGTTTGTTATCAGTTATTAAATTATTTTGAATCTTCTTTCAGGCACTTGGATTATCGGGTCAGAAGCTCCTCGGTGTTCCTATAGTAGTACAACACACGCAAGCTGAAAAGAATCGCATGGGCAACTCCATGCCTAATTTAATGCCAAAAGGTCAGACAGGTCCTATGAGGTTATATGTTGGATCTCTTCACTTTAACATCACAGAAGATATGCTTCGAGGTATTTTCGAACCTTTCGGTAAAATTGACAACATTCAGCTGATCATGGACCCAGAGACTGGCCGAAGCAAAGGTTATGGATTCTTGACTGTATGTATTAAAGTATATTACAAATTGCCTAATTAGACATGTTTCATTATTTCTTCTAAAATATATTTATTTGATTATAGTTCAGAAACGCGGATGACGCGAAGAAAGCTTTAGAACAGCTGAATGGTTTTGAACTTGCTGGAAGACCCATGAAAGTTGGCAACGTTACAGAACGTACAGATTTAATACAAGGTCCTTCTCTGCTTGATACAGATGAACTGGATCGAAGCGGTATAGATCTTGGTGCTACTGGAAGGTACGAAATATTAATTAATTTTATTATTCATATAATCCTGCAGCCGCAAATGCATTGAACATGGCTCCCGTCATGTCAACGCCACAGCCACCTCCACAAGCTGCTCCGCCTATAGCGACGCAATGCTTTATGTTGTCGAATATGTTCGATCCACAAAAGTAAGTAATAATTACAATTTTTATATTATAAATGTGCATATATGTAGACCTAGTGTTAGATCCCTTTTCCTTTCACTGGGGGAACGATTATGCTAGATAAATGATGTTATTTGAAGAACTTGTTGCATGCATATCAGTATATGCATGTTGAAAAATGATAATATAACAGTACTTTCAATAATTAAGTGGTTTAACTTCTTTAAAAGTTTATCTTAAGAAATTAGGAAGGAAATTAAACTCAGATGCATTCTTTTCTGTTTCAGTGAGACCAATCCAAATTGGGCGAAAGAAATACGCGACGATGTCATCGAGGAATGTAACAAACACGGTGGTGTACTACACGTGTACGTGGATCAAGCCTCCCCTCAGGGTAACGTTTACGTTAAATGTCCGTCAATAGCAACAGCAGTCGCGGCTGTCAATTCGCTACACGGTAGATGGTTCGCTGGTCGGGTGATCACAGCCGCGTACGTACCGGTTGTAAATTATCATTCGTTGTTCCCTGATGCGATGACCGCTTTACAATTACTGGTCCCGAGCGCGCCACGAAGGGGAATGTGATCTTAAACAGTGCAAAGGCGAGTTATAAGCGTGTAAATTCTTATAGTATTATATTCTTTCTTACTGATACTGAAAAGAAATTTTTGTTAGTAAGAACGGAATCACTCGAGTATCATTTCAAATCATATACAGGTTTAAATAATTGATCCGCAGAGTGCAGAATAACATGATGAATCTGCGCGAACTATTCATACGTTCATAAGGGTTACTATAGTTTTGTTTTGTTTTATGAAAGTGATAGAGTACGTATTGGTCGTACGTATTCGGTGTACAATTTCGAAAAACACTCATTCAATACTTGACCAATTAAGTACGCGACGACGCTGGAAAGGATTGTCTTTGACTACACCTCCAGATGCTTTACTACAATACGAATACGAAATTGTCCCTTCAACAGTTATTTATTAATATAGTACAATGATTTAAGAGTATTTGTGTGTATCCACGTATTCAGATTATACTTTAACAGATTTAGCGCGACAAAAAGATACCGAAAGAAAACTTCGTTGCCTTATTTGTTAAATATATATTGCACGACAGATAAGTATCTATTGAACAATTCTTTACTATTTACCTGTAATGTTTACAAAGTTGAACAATTTCTGACGCTTAACCTGTTAAAGTAAAAGTAATTATTAAGCGAATCGTGAGAACAAAGTAGGAAGATTAATTCGTTATGGTCCCCGTGGAAGCATGCGTTAGAAAGTGGTAATATATGTATGTATAAGAGAAATATGTTATAGAATTTTCTTTAAAACTTTGTGATCATAAAAATGTGCACAGCAGAGGTTCTTCAGAAAAAACGCATAGATGTGTTTTTATTAATAGGGAAAAGTGGGGAAGGTTTCTGAGCAAGAAGAAGGGGTCTGCAGGCAGTGAACGAACATTTTTGAAAAAATAATAAATTACCACGAAAGTAACATTTAAGGCACTAATTTACACAGTAGTTTTTCATACATTTATTCAATGGTTCACTTGAAATGGCCTTTTAACCATAGAATGATTTGATAGTCAGCTAGTTTTCAACGTTATACAATTTTAAAGAATAACTCATGCACCAGAGAATTTTTAATTACAAACGAGTAATTAATATTGCGCCGAGTGTTCATATTAAGACAGTGAGTATGTAAACATTAAAAAAATTACATTGATACTTTTTAAGTATAGACACTTCTATAGCGTTGTGCATAAAATTACAAGACATTTTAAAGGTTTTTAACATAGATGAAAGAGTTTTGTTTCTTCGAAGGGTGTTATAATTTGTAGAAACAGAATTCAACACTAGTTATTCCTGCAGACCTCTGTTGATAACAAACAAAAATCCAATTACAATAATCTGTATAAAAAATTTTGTAAATTAACACCAATCATTCATATATGTAATAACGCTACTACCGTAAACTTCGTATTACTGAAACGTGAATGTACACTTTGGTAATTATAAATTAAAAATTAATGTGATAATACGATGTGGATGTGAGAATGTCCTCTTCTAGAATACAAATGTACATGCGCAAAATAATAATTCTTCGACATTTATTCGTTTATATACGTGATAACTTAAGTGACTGTAGCATATGTAAGGTTTTCATTTCTTATTTTAGAATAGAATACAAAGATTATTTTTTAACCATTCGCTGTATGTATCTAACTTAGATTACAAATACTATTTTGAAAACACTGAGGAGTAATTTTATTGTGTACGTTTTATAAAAATTCTACAAAGTTAAAATTATTATTTAATAAATTAACAATAATTGAAAGCTGTATATCGTTATATTTCAAGCTGTATATAATTGGTTTGAACCCTTTGGAAAAAAAATTCGTAAGGAAACTATAAAAAAGTATCATGTATTTTTTTAATTAAATTTCAAGACATCAATTCGGTGGTTTACATTTATTTCGACCATTTTAAATCAACGCACAATGATATATGATCACTTGGAAATACTACTGATGGAAGTCCTGTATGCGCTCTAAGTTCTTCTTCACTGGGCATCGGTATAACTTGTTCAACTTGCAAATTATTTGTTTGATAAAATATGTAATCCAGACAGCCCGAAAAGGTAGCTGTATAATTTGTATATTCCGGAGTACCACAAGCACTAGCGAAATTTAAATCATGTTTGATAGATACATTTTCCACATACTCTTCAGGATCTATAATTGTGTAATATAGATATATGTTTAATACGAATCATGAAATATTTATAAATTATTATGTAACAGAAGTAAAAACGACTTACCGGAGTTCCAATCACCATGGTCTTCTGGTATATAATTTTGGGTAATTAATTGATAAACTGCATTTTGTGGCACACTGTTAAAGTCGCCACAATATAAAATGCTAACGCTGCATTCTGGGTGCTGACAATTTTTAATACATTATTAAGGGAAATATATTAAAAATGAAGATTTAACAAATTTTTAATTGATTTATTATTACAAGTACCTCCGTTTTCATTTTATTGGCAAATGTCTGTAAATACAATAAGCCATGATACGCTTGTAACAAACGTATATGATCGGCTTGCGGTCGAAAGTACAAGTGCGTATTTCCAACGATTAAGATTTCTGGGTTTTCTTTAGATCGTAATACTGCTACCTATAATATATACTATACTATAACTAATTATTAAGAAATTAAGTTTAATAATAGTATGCAATTATTAGGTTTTGGTACCTGAATAATTGTATTCCTATTCAGGAATGTTTTCTTTACATTGTCATTCTGAATTAGTGACAAAACGTTATTAAATTCATTTAAGTTTGTATCTTGAGAGATAACACTATAATCACAGATCAATTGATCAAACCTTTTTTGATTGTAAAATATTGCTAAACCCTCCTGCAACTCATTTTTCAAATTAAATATGCTATCATAATTTAGTTCACTCAAAGCTGGTACCAAATCATGCTCATAAACTTTACCATCTACTTCTTGCAGACATATAATGTCAGTGTTATATCCTGTAGAAATTTATTACTATCATTTAAATGTTTTTGCTTTTATGAGTACAAAATATTAACTATGAAAAAAGAAAGTAAAAGAGATACCCATTAATTCTTTGAGAAGTAGCAGTTTTCTGTAATCCATAGATAAAGCATAAGATGGACAATAGGGATACAGAGTATCTTTGGACAGAGAAGTTGCTGAATATATATTTGCTAATATATTGTAAGATGTTACTCTAAAACTAAAATTTCACTTTTACAATTTTATAACAATTTTTTGAGTACTTAAAATGAGTACAATTTACTTCAAATTTTTATTAAACCTTTACCTTTTACCAGATAATTTATTACTGGTAAAAGCATGTCTGGTATCAAAAGGACATGGACCTGGACCAGGTAGTACAATATCCTTTGATATAAGTTCTATCATAGGACCACTTTGTGTCTCATTTCTTGGCTCACATGATATTTTTAATTCGCATCCTAAATCAGACATATTAGGTACATATAAATATCCTTGCCCTATGTGGGTCCACGTAAGTCCATCATTTTTATACCAATTAAAAATACATTTCGTTTTATCTATGTGTATTGCTTCAAACTTTGAGGGATAAATTGGAAAATCAACCAAAATGCTTGCTGGCAATTCTATTTTGGTTACATAAGGTATATTCTGCTTCAATACATACTCTGTATCAAAGATGACCAATTTTATGTCTGATGAATTTTCCAAAAGTGATTTACATGTAAGATTACCATCAAGGATAGACTGATTTCTTACAAATTTAACATTATTATGTTCTACATTGGTTACTTGTTTTTCTTCTAAGATTTCATTTGTATTCTTATTCTTCTTTTTCTGTTTTTTCCAGTACTTTTTCATAATATAGGTATTAATATTGGTGTTTATTCTCTGAATAAATTTGGTTATGGAATCATCCACCTGTCTGTCGAAATTGAATTGTCTGTCCACGTTTAACTCGGGATTAATATAACGAAATGACATCGTAAACTTGTTATTGCTTTCTTCGTGTAGTATAATAGCCTCGTTCATTTTTAATCGTACTACTGCTGCCGAATAATTCTTATAAAATGCTTGATAAACTTTTGTAATCGGTAAAAAAGGGGTTCGGCACTTGGAATATAAATTACAAAATAACATTGACATTTTACATACTGATAATTTCCATCTATTTCAAGATTTAACAATTGAAAAATAAACCTTTAAGAGTACAATGACATAAACACAAATAATAAATCCGAAAAGTATGCGGACACTTAACTAAACTATTCTTACACTTCGAGCATGGTCTCAGTATACAGAGTGCCATCTCTCGTCGTCAAGCGAAAACAATATTATAGGACATGCTGTATCGATGATCGATCAGATTAGTTAAAAACTTAATTTGCATAAAACTGTATATGTAAAAAATACTGTGCATGGAGACGACATAAAGAAGCATAAAGTACTTGAACAGAAAAATTGATGCACGAAAGGAACACGAGAAAGCTCCTGTAACATTACGTCGTGATTGAATGCAAAACAACCTTTTACATTATTTGCCAAATTGCTCAACATACACGGTGCATATGGCCCACCTGCTCCCCAAGCAGATGCCGTGGCGCACAGATTTTTTATTTATTTCCGCTGCTTAATGTTGAGATCGCGGTAATGGGAATGTAGGGCGGAGAAATTTTGCTCTGCTTTTCTGAACTTTTTGGCTGCATACACACGACGAATTCCTTTTGCCAAGCCTTCGCAGACAATTTCTTAATTCGATCTTCAATTCATTATATACCAATAATAACTCACAGTTACGCTTCTCCATCAGAAAAAAGGAGAATGTACGATCAGATTCAAACTTTTACGACTGACAAACTTTTTTCACTTATATAAGTATGTAGTCGAAACTGGTTTTTGGCCCCTCGTTTTCGCTATCGTCAATTTGCTGTATTATCGAGCGTGCTCTTATTTAATATTAAAGTACATTATTCTAATTCACTTTTCATTCGATCGAAATACGGAATACAATCGATCTATATACATACATAGGCATTGCGATAACAGTTGCTCAACGTTTGTTTCAAAACGCTAGTAAAGAGGATCCTTGCACCGTTTGGTGAGGAAAAAGCACTCTGGCAATAGGGATCGAAGTGAACGTGAAATTGCGGTAACAATTGCTACCGGATGAACATTTTCATAATGACGCGTGCATGCGTCGGGTGGCTCGTTACGTATCGATATAATAATTAATTGGTAAGATTATCGTGTTTCACGTTGATAGCGTGAAACACTCCAGTATATCATTATCTACTGATGAGGACATAAATAAACGTGTCAGATTGTATTTATTTACGAAAAAATTTACAAGTTGATTTTCATGCGAATAGAAACGTTAACGCTGACATGGAGCAATGTAATTTGCAAATTACTAGAAGTAATTTACTTATGATTAAGTGATAGAATAGAATAATAATCTAACTGTATTCTCAACTTCCTATAACCAATAATAACTATATGGTTGGTGTAATTTTACTTATGGCAACTATTTACATTATTAAATTGCAATTTTTACGCTTCATTGTGCTTTATGCTTATTGAGCAATATCAATCACACGGAGATTTCACGGTGGTATTATTACCATTTAAAAGAGGTATTTATTAAGTCTCATTCGACATCAATTATTTCACTGTTGTGGCATATTGTACTGTTGTCGTTGCATGGTGTCTTTTTTCCTCTCTCTTGTGTGTGTAGGAGTCGAATAAATTATGTAAAATGCTAAGAAGCTGTGTAAGTGATCACTGGGTAATGTTGATTGTATTACAACTGGCGTCACGCCCTGAATTTTATTTACTGCCTTTAACTTTGCATGAGGATGTATTATTTATTGTACACGTCGCGAAAATTTCTTTAAACGTTTAGAAAAAATTAAATGAATTATTTGAACGAAAGGAAACATAATACAAAATCACATTTCTAAATAAATAGGTAAAGAACACTATATGAACTCATACAAGGATCTCAACAAATTACTTCAAAGAAAGAGAACAAAATAGTAAATAAAAAATAGCTACACAATTACAGTATCTGGATAGATAGAAAAAAACGCTGTATATTGGTGTCAGTATAGCTTGTTAGTGTTTTATAGGACGATAAAGTTGTTTCATCTGGACGATCCTCCAATTATTCTCGGCGGTCAATCTACACTACACGATATGGGAGAAGGCATTCGCCTTCACTTTTTCATACACGAAACGGTTGTTCGGGTGCTCATCGTTGCGGCATTTACGTCTAAACATGTAATTCGAGAGAATGTTATTAGACATCCAACAATCATCATTCGGACCGCAGCCGTGTTATCGTTAATTGCGAATAAAAGTATCGTATAAAATGTGTAATTATCATGAAAACTAGCAAAATGCAATGACACGATTACAAAAGTAGAGCATACTTTAACCTACTGTACCATAAACTAGTATAATATTGATTGTTCTTAAACCTATCGTGAATATCCGTCTAAGGTTCCATTTCTAATATTCCATCTCCAATTTTGTAAAAAAAAATTGTTTATTCACTGACCTCCCTGTTATCATAAATCTACCATAAAATCTAACCAAACACGTATCCTAATTTCTCCTCACGCCTCTATGCATATGTCATGTCGGTGTCGTGAACATGTAACGCAGCCAATAACCGAAGCTCATGTAGGATCCGCTTCATTTGAATATCGCGTGATTCCCTCGAATGCCAGGATGCGCGTCAAAGTCAAAGGTAGAACCGTGTATACGAGTGGGTCAACGCTTCTTATGGTCAACATAGGTCGAGGCAAGTTAGCAGCCGTGTCTTGTTTCGAAAACGAAGCAACCCGTTCTCGTTATTCATGTCCTCTTTTTCTCCCATATTTGTTGCAAGAAGCGGCCGTTATCGCCGGCTAGGTGATAATCAGGTTGCTCAACGATCAGATGGAAAAGGGCCTCCATAGAGAAATTCAGTCATTGATGGTTGTTACCTCGGTCCTGGATTTTCGAAAATTAATTAGAGCTAATTGCTGAAATTGTCAACCATGTTTCGATTCTATTTTTGTTTTCTTTTTAACACATGATAGAAATTAATGAACAGAACCTTGTCTTTTCGACGTCTGATTTTATCATACTGCAATTTTATTTATTTAAGACTTAAAAATTAGAGAGTATTAGACGATGTTGGAGCTTAGCCCAATGGTTTCCTTTTAAC